GCTCCTACTTAACAAACAAAAAAAATAATATCTTTTAAATTAACCTCAGAGTCAGTAAAGTTAAAACTGGAATATTTATTATCTCCATAATCAATTTAAACTAAAAATCAAACTCTACATAACTTTCAAATTATTAGAACTTATAAAAACTTGGAATTTCTATAAAAAATTTCAAGAAATAAATAAGAATACAGAAAAGCTTATTAATACGATCAAATTTTTCAAACCAAATTGTTTGGGATATGCAAAAACATGAATTTAAAGCAAAACAATATTAATTATGGTAGATTTTCATTTTACCTCATATTCATTATCGTTTTTTGGCTGTATTGACCTAGAGTTACAAACATAATAATAATTCACTGCTGAAGTTGATTTTTTGCTGAGATAATAATATTTATGAATAAGGCCCAATTTGAAACAATAATTATACAATATATTATATTAATATATAATTTCAAAAGTAATCGATTAATAATTGATTTAGATAATAATAATTAAATTTTATTTTTCAGATTATAAAACTCATATCTTAATCTTCTCTTCTATTGACTCAAATTCAAGATAAGGATTTCTCAATCCTGAGCCAGTTCTTAAATAATTTAACATCATTCCAAGCAAAATAAATCCAGTAATTAGTGTTAAGAACGGAGGATTGTGCTTATAGCGATATAGCAGATCAAACAATATCAATCCACTAAATTATGTTATACCAATAATTATAATATTTACAATATGTTCTTTATTGAATAGTCCATGTCGAAAAATGAAAGATTGTATTAAAGATAACCCAATTAATTAATATAAATGGATATCAATATTTCTAATTAATCTCAAAATATATTACTTTTATTGCCATTAGGTATGATCGTTTGCAATTAAAAATGAAAACTCTGTTTTTATAGAACCAGACATCTCTTAGGAATTCTGAATTAGCAAATGTTTATCGACTTGTGTTCTATGAACCAAAGAATAAATTTCAGTTAGCCAAATTATGCAAAAAAATAAAAATAGTTAAAATTTATTGGCAATGATTATGCGCTATAATATTTAATTCTATAATTACTCGATTTACTTATATAAGCAATAAAACTGTAACAATACAAGGAAGTATTTGATGAAATAAATCATTAAAGAAAACTTATTCAATTTGAGTAGACTCAATAATATAATGTTGAAAATATAAGATAATCAAGGATACTATTATGCTAATAATCTATGATTTTGAGGCATAATAAATAAAATCGCATAACACTATAAAAGCTAGAATAAATGATATTGTTTTTGGATAAAAAAAAATGATCCAATAGCAGGTATAAATAAAAGTGTCAATAATTACTTAGTTGGAGTAAATTCAAATTATGTAAAATTTTTCTAATACAAAACAGTGAGCTACAAGTGGTAGTAATGTATATCAATATTACTGCTACCATATTCTTAAATCAATTAGGGCTGCATGAGGGTTTTAGCAATATTTATAATACCTAATACTAATTTAATTTAAATCATCTAAATGTTAAGGATTATTCTTAAAAGATTATTCTATAAAAAATTAAATCAATTTATTGCATTCCCTCATTATGTTGAGTGCAATTATATTCCAATTCTAATTAATAAGATTACTTTGGTGATAGAGTATACGTAATTTCATCTACTTCTGGAAATCTTAGTTGAAGACTTTCCTAAATAAAAGGATAAAATTCAGATTATGTTTAAATTCTCAGTGTTATGTTGATTGGAAATTGATCTATAAAAATTACAAAATACTTTACTTTCATTAAATGAGTGAAATTATCGCATTTGATTTCCTTCCCAATCAACAAAGGCTTCACTTTGGTTTTGGTCATCCCAAAACCAGGGATCAATTTGATCTGAATGTAATATTGGCATTTTAAAATCTTAAGTGATTCTAGTTGATAATTAGAATGCTGCTGCAAAACAATAAAATATTTTAATTGTATTATAATTTATATATAAATATTATTTTGTGATTTAATTAATTTCTATTCAATTAGAAGTATTCAAAATTGTAATGTAATTTCGGCTTGAGTAACTTGGGTGTCTGGTAAAATATTAACAAATTAATTGATTGAATAATTGTAGGAATTTAATTCAATAATTTAAGCAGAGTAGGGAACTTTTCCTATTTAAATTAGAAATTATTGAAAATAACTTAGGGTGTATTTATTATAATTCTTAAAACATTAAAAGTATTAATTCAGACACCATTAGAAAAGACTTATATAATTATTATTTTACACTTATTATATTAAAAAATATGATTAATTCAAACGATATTTTCTAAACAACCAGAGAATAAGAGAAATATCTATTAGAATTAGATTTGCAGAAATTATTGGTCATTTGAATAATATTATTTCAATTTATTGTAAAAAATAAGATCTATATAATTTTTTGAGACTTGGGAAAATTTCCTGTTTGTTTAATCCGTTAATTTTAAGTATTTGTTGATGAAATTTCTCATCATAAAGGAATTATACTCATAAAATATTTCTAAATTCTAGCTTAATTAAGATCAACTCCTTTC